TTAACCCTTCTGCTGCAGAAGAGCAGCCACAGCCCGCATTTCTCATGATACACTTGCATCTTTCACTGGTCTGAGCCATCAATTGATGAGATGCTCTTCTCTAATCTGAGAACTAAATTAACTAGCAATGTAGAAGGCAAAACCAAATTGTGTAATTAAATCACTTAATTTGCCACATGAGGTGTTTCAGGATTGACGAATTCATATTCAGAAAGGGCACTGAAGGTGGAAAACTCTAAGAAAGCAACAGATAAAAACCTACAAATGATCTGATCATCTCTAAGTGAGTCAACAGCCACCATCTACTGACTTCAGAGCAGATACACCCCATCTTTGCCATCTCCAAATATGATTTTGCCTGATGCTGCAAGTGTCAGAATTAGCTGTGCGTTAATTCCTGCCAAACCCGAGTTTCAGAACGCTGGTTGCAATGGAGAGAGGAAACGTTGCATCGTTCCTTGGCCTCATCCAGCCTGGAAACACCATTTTGGGGCAGCATTCACCTGCTCAGATGCTCCTTCAGAAAAGCTACTCAAAGCCTGCTCACATGGGGTACGAGCCAGATTGCACCCCAAAAAATAAACTCCAACTGCCACCTTCCTCATCTGCAAAATTAATGCTTGGTGCTCCACTTCATCCGCGTGCTGTTGAAAGATTCTTCACTGTTATTACGTTTGAAGAGTTTTATTTCCAAATGTCATATTGGCCTGTAACAACCACAATATTCATAACGTGCAGGTGAACTTTCATGAAGCAGAGGAGAAAATTAACATTCTTCCTTATCGGAGGAAATTGAATCTGATTTTTCATTCCATCAAAACATCTCTTCACAGACAGGATAAATCCCATAAATTGCTTTAACCCATGTATCCGCCCAGAGCCCATTCTAAACGCTGTTGTAACAAAGCCTGTAATCAAAGTAAATGAGCATAATTACCAACAAGTGCAAATATGGGTTATCTGGATTCTTTTCTCAGACATTTCATATGTGACCATTTCACCATATGTTTGCATTGAAAAATAAGAATAAACTGTATTAGATTGGGAGATAAAAGGGTATACATTAAAAATTCAAGCAGAAAGCATCCCGTAGCAATGATTACCATTATAACTATTCATTCAAATCCAGTCTTTTCTCCCCAAATGTAAATGTCACCAAATCACAAAGCATGGCCAAATAATAACCCGTTTCAAGGGACACTGGGGTCTCCTGCTATCAGACTTCACAGCGAGACGCCCCTTTCATTTCTCCCTACCACTCAGGAACAAGAAATGACTGTGTGCAATTCCATTTACTTAATGGTAGTTCAGGTGAATTCCTCATATTTTACAGTCATATTTCTAGTCCTAGTTATCCTGAGGGGTCAGACAGGATTCTTCAAGGCAACCTCACAGCCGCACAACTTCATTGACCAGTAACAACCCCTTAACACATCACATCCCCATATGGGCAGCGTCACCGGGCAGGGGTGGCTACCACGGCTGAAATGCAGCAAGACCAGGAGGAATTCCACACGACTTCATCTCCCACGTCCCTCCGAAGCAGGAGGCATGACCTGTGGTGAGTGTTATGAGCCGGGTCGTGTCACATCAGAGCAGCTCAGCGGCATGGCTCGCAGCACAAGCCGTGTCGGCGGTGAAATGACAGTAACAGAGTCACCTGTCAGGTCGTGGCTCCGGGAGCCAAGGAACGCGTGCATATTGATGGTGTGTAACAGCAGATACATCTTCATAAAGATAATATAAATCAAGCTCCTGTCCAGGACAGGCGCATGTCACAGCTGTGCGATGAGGAAGTTAATTCATTCAAATTACATTTTAAACCAGACGGAACTGTAATCTGTCCTGAGGCACGTTAATACATCAGGTATCCTGATCCACCTTTCACTAGGTCCTGAGTTAGATCATTCTGTTTCTGCAGTACTCTCTCCCAATTGAAAACAAGCCCCAAAATTATATTTAAACTACATTTCTCCTTCCATTTGTTAGCACAAACTAAGTTACATATTTAGAAAAAACAAGTCTTTCAAGAAACCAGCTATGCCACATTAGCAGCAAATGACCTGATCTCTAAAGGCAACTTCATACTTATCAGGAATAATCCAAACTGGAAGTGCTCAATTGATTTGTTTTATTCCCAAGATAATATTTTCTTCATTTCCTGATGAAACTGGCCGTGAATGTAAGTGCACTTAGGCAAAGAAAACTACACAATTAGGCTCTTCTTTGACACATATGAATACAAGCACGAGTTAATTTACAAGTCTCTCGCTACGTTGTCCTGTAGGAATTTTTACGCTACTCTGCTTCCAGAGCAAAGAAAATGATAGTATTTGTTCTTGACTGCAGTACCCGAATTTCCAGCGTTCAGTGACACTTCTGGTGCGGTTGCTGGAGGGGAGAGGAGTTCAGACGGGATCCAGCCCTGCAAACGTGAAAGCTCCTCGAGACTTCATGTATTTCTGCAAGAAAAATGTCATTTATTTTACATACCCCACACAAAAGCCCAGATGTTCACAGCATTTAGGCGCAGTGATACACATTGCTGTGGTACCTGTACATGCTGACATCCCATCTCTGAGCATAACCGAAATGACTGTAGGAAAGATGTAGGTATGCAACACTTCAATACTTCTTGGTAATTTGTTTTCTCTGGTGTCTTACTTCAGTTCTTGCTATTTTGTTTTACTGTTGTGTCTCAGAGAGTCTTTGAATGGAGGAGAGGAAGTGCCACAGAAGACCGATCTCAAAAAAAACCAACAAAAAAACCCAAACAAAACCCAAAAGAGTTGCACATTGTACAGCTGTAATATCAAAGTAGGAGTAACCTGGCAGTAGCCACTGAAATCAGTAGTGTTAAAGCAAAAACTGACAAAATGCAGACTCTTTCATTATCTGGTTATTAACTACCAAGATGGCCTGCCAGGGCATTTGGCAACCTCTTCACCCACAGGTGCTTCTACTCACAGCCACATACAGGTCTGAACGGGATCCCCTGCGGGGGGTACAGGAATTACCTTACTGAGATAGCCCAAGGCCTCTCTCATTTTCAGCCAGGGTCAGCACCAGCTGCTTCAGCAGAACGTTTAGAAAACCCAAATAGGCAAGAATTTGGAGTAATCTCTCTCCACAAGATGACTCATTTTGGGCTCTGAAAGGTAGGAATTGACTCAGTGCTCCCAGGGGAGGCTGGGCACCCCTGGCTCCTACAAACAGCAATAATCTTCAGCCAGAAGTGCTACAGCAGGAGTGTGAACATAGCCTGTGGGAAGGCCACCAAACCGCAGCATGACCCCAGCTCCATCTGCTCGATATAAACACGCTTGGCAGGGTGGGACCTGGAGGTCTCATTCTCCCCCAGCAGCTCACCCACCACACAGCCGCATCTCCCCTGCTGGAGACCACGACTTGGACTGAGATTCACCCTCTTGTTGAAGGCAACGACCACGCTGCGGCTGTCATTTTTTGTTACTATTACACCAACTTCTCCCCTCCAATGCCTTTCTGAACAGCTTGCTTAATTGAGTTTATTCCTTCATTATTCAGACAGCACCATTCTCCTCACATCACAGACTGCAGACAAAATACATTAAGATCTGGCAGTGTTCTTCCTAATAGCACTAGTTCATTATTCCCCTCGTAGCTCTTACTCTCTACGTGTTACTCAAAGGTTCAGTACAAGGCACCATTAAAAAGAATACTTAGACCCCTAATGTTAATGGGGAACATCAGATCCTGCTTTTTACACCATAAACAGCTCTAAGGCAGCAAGTAGGGGCAGCAGAACATCTTCAGGGCCAGAAATAAGTGAGCCAATTTCCCGTCGCAAATCCATCAGCCCCTTTATTTTTTTAATGTGGGAAGAGGAGAGCGCACTCATGACCTTGCTTCGATGGCACAGCATCATCTCAATTCAATGCTCTGGGAGACACGGTGAATGGAAGGAATCCAGACCTGGGGAAGGAAACTTAGCTATGCCACCATCATTTTTTCAATGAAACCGAAATATTCAAATCCCTTTACAAAGCTGTGAATAGCCACAGAAGACGACGAGCGCTGCCTCCAGCCGTGGGGACACCCTTCTCCTGTGAGGACCCGTTCCGAAGTCACTGCAGATGGAGAAGGACCGACAGGTGCTAGGCTGATAACAACTCTTTTTCTCTTCTCTTTCTAATTACTGAAACAAACAACAGCACTGAGCTGAAAATAAGACCACACATTCTCCAGATCACCAATTATTCTCTCGACTTGTACTTGTCTGCAGTATTTCTTCCACTAATCACTACAGCACCAAATATGCCAGAATTGTTTGAAATCTGAGTCCAATCTCAGACGCGGTAAAAGGCTAATAATGACTGTTGTTTACACACGTTTAATTCAACATACCAGAAGCAATTTTCTCACTCTCTTTAGCATTTTATTTGCTTATAAATACAAGTCAATACCACAAGATGGCACTTTCTTACTTGCGACACACACTATTATAAACACTTACCCTCTTCAAAATGTTCCCAGATGTTTACGACATGTAACTTCTCAGTGGTTCTGAAACACTTAAAAAAGCAAGACCTTCCACACACCGCATTTTGTGTTTGATGTATATTAAATGAGGTCAGGTAATTAAATTCAAAAAAAGAATTTATAAATATTTCAGATACGAAAATTTAAATACAAAAGCAGAGTTTGTATTAATTAAACTGAATAACAATTTAAACTGGCCATAATGTATCTACATGGTTTAATTTAATTTAAAATACTTTTTAAACAATCAAATCCTTTAACCGTTCATCAAAACACCTATCTACTCAACTCTTTAAAAAATATTCTCAGTTAAGAAACCACCAATGCTTTTTCATCACAATCCTTATTCTGTCCTGTAGGTGGAAATGAAGCAAAATCATATTCCGTACTAGAAAACAGGATAAGAAGGAAAAAACTTTTAAAAACCTGGTAACTTCAGACACTTCAACTCATTCTCCCTTGCGTTTCTCAAAATACATGATCCGGTTTGAAAGTCTCTGAACGAAATGTAAACACTAGAAAACTCATTGCTGAAAGATGTGAAGAATAAAGAACCCTGCACTAATATAGTGCATAATGATGCTGTGTCAAACTTGTCAGTTACGGTAAATGTCACATTTTCCTCAGGATTGTCATGCCTCTTTTTTTTACTAATTCCTTTTCACGTCTGTAGATTCTTTGTTTTTTATTATTATTATTCCCATTGCTCAACAGGAAGAGATGTATTTTCTGGTCTCTTCAGAAAAGTTCCACAAGATCCAAGTCTTCGACTCAATTTTTTTTGTTTAATAAAGAGGTGGCAAAATTTTAAGCTCGCAACACTTCTGCCCAGTGCATTACACATCAGGAGATTCCTCAAAAAACTGAGAAGTCGGAGAGTTCCAAAAAAGAAAGCAGTTAAGGCAGTCGATGTCTACATTTGGGTTTCTTTTTTACGTTACATATCAATGTCTCCATCATAGGCCAAGGTCAGAGGCTTCTGCTGCTGCGGAGGGCTCTGATGCTGCTTTGTTTTTTTGCTGCAAGAAAAAAATATTTCAGGAGACAAAATTATCAACTGTCACAAACTCAGAAACGTTATCAAACCCCAAATTTCAACAAAAAAAAATCAACTCGCTATTTAATTTTGCAATGAGGTGACACTGCAGTAGAGTGTCCACTTCCATGTGGACCTGTTAGGTGTGTGGCGCAGACACACGGCCTGCCAAAAGCAGGCAGCCAACTGTGCTCTTTATCTGGAGAGGAAATAAAGCGTATTTGTCTCCTGTGTCTTCTCACAGCTGACAAAGCAAGGAACAATTCGCAGAAAGATTGAAATATGAACTGTTTGGGAGCGGGATCTTCTCATTTTTTCTTCGGCATGGTATCGAAGCAACAATAATTATTATTGAGAAATACACTTCCTCACCAGCCTTCGAGTGATGGAGAACTATGTAATGTTATTTAAAAAGTCCTCTGTATGCCCCATGGTGAAGCCACGGAGAAATGGTAGCTACATGGCTTGGAAAATAAGGAAGCTGCAACTCCTAAGCAGCATCCAAACACTGTTATTTAAGCTTTTAGTTGAAGAGAGAGACTGAAAGACTAAAAGAGTGAGAGAAAATAAATTCGAGCTGTTGGAGTGGGTCCAGAGCAGACCATGAAGATGATCAGGGGCTGGAGCACCTCCCCTACAAGGACTGACTGAGAAAGCTGGGGCTGTTCAGCCTGGAGAAGAGAAGGCTCCAGGGGGACCTTACTGCAGCCTTCCAGTTCTTGAAGGGGTCCTACAGGAAAGCTGGGGAGGGACTTCTTACAAGGGCAGGAAACAACAGAACAAGGTGAAATGGTTTTAAACTGGAAGAGAGGAGATTTAGACTGGATATTAGGAAGAAATTCTTTACTGTGAGGGTGGTGAGGCCCTGGCCCAGGTTCCCCAGGGAAGTTGTGGATGCCCCCTTCCTGGCAGTGTTCAAGGCCAGGTTGGACGGGGCTTTGAGCAGCCTGGGCTGGTGGAGGTGTCCCTGCCCATGGCAGGGCTTGGACTGGATGAGCTTTAAGGTCCCTTCAAACCCAAACCATCCTGTGATTATATGTTTTTGGGTGAAAGAGGGCAATGATGCTGTGAGGTCATGGTTGTGACTCTATGGTTGCTGGCCCTGATCTGACAGGGGTTGGAGCAGCTTGCACCATTCGTGTTCATAAAGCCCAGCTCCATGGTCCCCGGGTCATATGGATACTGGCCACTGCTCTCTTCGTATCCTCCAAGGCCCATCAACATCAGCACCTTTCCAAACATTAAACCAAAAAGCACAACACTAGCTCTGTCAAACCAGGCCTACCACCCCTGCCTGGGGTGACGGCAGTGTTGGAGGAGGGCAGACATCTCCCCCACCAGTGACGTGCTGGTGCAGGCCAGGGCTCCGGTTCATCTCTAACAGTGGCTGGCAACAGCAGCTTTAGACACAAGACATGTTTCCACCTGATGTATTCACTGCAAAAACCTATTTGGGGATTTCCTGAGCTGGGGTGTACATCCAGAAAGCCACAATTAACACCAGGAGACCCAGTCTCCTGTGAATTGTTGTGCCACCTTTGAATGCATTTATCTTCCTGGCGTGCGCAGTCCCCGGCAGCGCTGCACTCGCAAGGCAATAATGCACTGTGTGAAAAATAAAATCTTTCGTTTATTTTAAATGATCATTTCATCAGATGCCTCCTACTTCTTATATTGTGGGAAATAAAAATTCCCTGGTGCCCTTTTCTACTCCATTCATGATTTCATAGATCTCTATTGTATTCCCATGTCAAACATCATTTTCCAACTGAATGCCCCTATTCTATTCAGTCCTTCCTTGAGCAGAAGCCAGCTCCTCTACCCAATCAGCCTCCTTGCCTTTTCTCAGTTTTACTTTATCTTTTTTTTTTAAATAATATAATAAAAATCCCTTTCTAATCCCAGCAGAAGCCTGAATTAATATAAGGGCCTATTGATAACCAAAAATAATTCTTTCCTGCACGACCACCACACTTCTTCATGATTATGCCAGATAGCATTTACAATTTGGAGAGTTTTAAATTACTCTGAGGTAGGGGCCAAATGGAGGCAGTCAAGTAATCCAAACTCCATCCTTTCCTAAGGCCTTGAGGATTAAATCTTTGCAACACAAAGCGTTGTGATATAACTTGGATTGTTTAAATAGAAGTAAACTAGCTTATATTTAAGGACAAAACACACGCGATACTCACCACATCAAGTAGGATGTAAAAATCAGGAAAACTATGATGAGGAACCCGCCAGCTGATACTCCGTATACCCACATCTTCAGTTTACCATCTGTCGGATGATGAGGAAAAAGGACAGAGGGAGAAAAGGGGAGAATAAAAAACTTTATTCTAGTATACACAAATTCTTGAGAGATTAAGTAAAAAGAAAACACACAAGCAAAATTAGTAGCATCACTGATGGGAAACACAGCCAGGATTGGCTGGGAATAACCCATAAACACCATAATTTTGATAGGAAAAGAAAGACTTCTGGAAAAATCAATTGGTTTAAATTGACAGGTGAGCTCCTGCTGACCCTTACAGGCAGCCCAGGATGATGGTGCAGCACCAGAAATACCTCCTGACCCTGCTCCTGCCCGTGGGGAGCAGCAGGAGCACAGGATGACCAGGATATACTCACTCAGGAGCCCGGGAGCTGCTCTGGCAAAGGCGTTTCAACCTTGAACTGACCCAGGTGGAAACATAGATAACACCTGAGACATTCAGCATAAAGAAATGAGGGCTGAGAAGGGATGGGGCTGCGCTCCCTAATCCTTGGGGGTCAATTGGGGTAAAACACCAGCGAGCACAAGTGAACAAGCAACTTAGAGCTGAAAAACACTCGGACAACAAATGGGAATAAATTCGGCTTAGAATAAAAACAAGAATATGCTTTGTAATAGTAAGAGGGATAAAGTTGTGCAAGACCTTTCCAGTTGGGCCACAGGAGCAGGAGACCCAACTGGCCTTAAGCCAAGGTAAGGCTCTTGATAGGGCTCTTTGGGTGCAACCACAAGGGAACCCCTCCTCGCACACGTGAGCCTGAGCGTGCTGAAACATTTCCTTCTGATAGCAAGTCCCAGAACACAGGACGGGTTATTTGGGCAGGTCCTTACTGACAAGTTTTGCATTAATAGCAGTTAATTTCTAACAGATCACTATTTCTGTTCCTTGCTCCGTTCTGGCTGCACAGATTTCCTCGCGGGGAGAAGCTGTGGTATTTGTTGCACGCAGCAGTCTGAGCTGATGCACATCAACAGAGCTGTTAATACGCGCTGGAGGCAGGGATACGAACCCGCACCGTGCCCACCGACGCGGTTTGACAGAGGCCATGTCAAACGCAGTCATGCGAGTGGGGAGATACTTCATGGGACAATCACTGAGCCTGGTTTACATTTTGTGTTTGAGTGATGAATTCTTTTCAAAGGAGAAGATGTTTAATCAGATCTAATTCTTTCTCTTTTTCCTTCCAGGCTTTGTGGAAAGGCTGAATACCCCTCACAGATTTTCTTGTCACCTCGAAACACTTACAGCCTATTATCTCCCATGTGAGGAGAGCTCCATTCATCGGGTTTGTGTTACTTGTTTTGGTTTGGTTAGTTTGGGTTTTTTTCTGAAGTTTGGGTATGAAATTTGTCACCCTCTCAACTGGAGACAGCCAAGAAGCATTTAGCAGCACTGCAAAAGGACTGCCACAGCCACAAAGGCACCCCACCATGCCTGCCATGAAGGCAGCTATGATCTCCATCCCCAACATAAGGGCACTGGACCATGTCATCCTACAATTTAAACAATGCTATTTAAATTGCCTCTCAACCTGAAAGAAGTTTCTGTACCTGAAAGTATTTCTTTACCACCCAGAGTGTGGTAAAGAAAGGGAAAACACAGCCTGATTTGAAATCAGTTCTGCGCACTCCTGTGGAGCATTTAAAAGAACAAAAACATCCGCCTGTTTAAATCATAATAAAACTTGTGTTCCAAACTGTAAATGGGAAGGGAAATAACAAATTAACTGGAGAAAGGTATGGATACTTTTACTGACAGACGTAAGCCCTTAGATGCACACAAATGCCCAGGACTGTGGTACTAAGGGTGGTAAATGCCACCCATATGGGGAGTGTTCACCACAGACCTGCTATCAAGAGCGTAACTGGTGGGTAACTGGATTCCTGGCTCAGCTAGCAGTGATTATTGCAAAAGCCCAGACCAGTGAGCCTGTGTAAGGGGAGTAATTACATATTTTGTCAGAAAGTTAGACAAAGGGAAGGGATTTGAGGAGCACCGGCCTTGAGCTGGGGTCTGAAGGGCACAAACAGACCTGCAGGATGCCATGGTGTTGGTGATACACTTAGCACACAAAGAAGGTGTTTATTCCTTTCCCATATATTGTTTCTGTAACATTTCTGCCCTAAAATTAAATCACATTGTGTTCTGTGAAAGCTCCTTAGTCCCTGTTTCTGTCTTGTAGTCCCTGGGGAGAACTGGCTTGCAGATGCTGCGCTGAGGTCAAGCCCACCAGAAGCTTCCAGGGCTGCAGCCTCAAATGCTGATTTAAAGAAAGGAGAGCAGCAACCACCTACACCTCTCTCCCTTTTTCTAACCTTGTAAAGGTATCAGCTGCAGAGATTAAGCCGAAGTGAGACAGCCTACAGAGGGCCATGGGTGATGACAAAAAGGCAATTAACCCCAAACCTGTGGCTCAAACTGCTGGTAAACTGCGTGGGCTCCTGGATGATGGGCTTGACTGAAAACCAGCCAGCTTTAAAGGGCCTTGGACCCAGCTCTACGAGCCTGGAGACTGTCAATGCAAAGGTTAACTACTGTATGCAAATCAAATATGGAAATGTAACATTCAAAGTGTGATCACATATATCAGACAGAGTTATGACTCCCTGAATCCCGTAACAGAACCTTTCATCCCATGTTTTCTAAAGTCTCGTGTTCATTACACATTAATAGGAAACAAATGCAAGGTCAGGTAACAGAAAAGTAGGAACACCACACTGCCTGCCTGTATTTTAGAATATGGGAGAATTATTGCATTTCAGTAAAACTTGGCGCACCTGTCACCTTTGTCTCCCATTTTAAAGCCCTATTTGCATTTTAGAAATTCATTTTCAATAAATTAATCTTGCAAAATAACAGTCAACGTGGTAATCAGCTATTACAGCTACAGCATCAGCCCTGGGGACCAGTCTGGGCACATCCAGTACTGGGAATCCAGTGCTTCCAACTGGGAAGCATTTCATGGTGTGGAAGTCAAAGATCCGCTTGGGACGCACTGCTTGGGCACAGCAGCTTGCCTGCTTTTTCTGGGGCATTTTTTAATGTCTTAACTTCAACATTTAGAACTCTAAACTCTACACTTTCTACTCTGATTTTTTTCATATACTTTCAAAATATGGCAAGAAACAACCAATGTTTTCTTTAATGAAATCTTAAGTATTTTCTGCTCTGAATCTTCTGAAGCGCTAGTGATCAATATCTTTCCTGGTCCACACATATTACTTCTAGAAACATCATCAGATAACAGTTCTAAGCGTCCCCCCAAATCTCATATGAGTATATTTTGCAAAACATTATTGCTTCATTCTGTCTTTGCTATCTCTCTACATAAGAGACTGTGATTACTCTGTATAGGCACAAAGGAATGAAAGACGAAAATGGGAGGCTGCTCTGCAGCTCCCAGACTCAATCTCTGATGTTGTGATCTACAAAGCTTGTACCTTTCTTCTACAGAAACATTGCAAAGATAATTTATTCCATTCATATTTAAGTTTTTCACCTGGATTAAAAGGTTGAATAGACCATCCTTTGAAAATGTCATGCATTTTTGAGTTGACAGGTTTATTTTTTCCAGCAATGGTCTTAACATCAGCTTTCTTATCTTCTAAACCTGGTACCCTCACGCAGTAATCCAGGAAACCATCTGATCTCATTATTTCTGTATATCCACGCTCACAACCGCAGACTCCTCTCTAGGCAAGAAAAGGGAAATCACTATTAAACCAAATAGTATCCTCTTGCAGAACAGTGCAAATTGTAGCAAACTATGAAGAAACTGCAAGGTACATCCTGCACAGGGAACTTCACCACCACCAAACCAAACAAGCCAGGAACCGGTGCCCACAGACACGTTTCAGTTCACAAAAACAAAATATATTTGAGAAATTGGCTGAAATAGAGCCAGTAATTATGGAAAAGCCCAACACAAACTTTTTCACCCTAACAGGCTTAATAACGGGCGTCTATGGCTTGATCCTAATTCATCTCATCAATAACAACTTTCCCTCTGCTGGGCATCACAAGAGATGAACAAGAAACAATCCCAGTTCAGACCCAAACTCTCCCAGTGTATTTCCACTCCAGTACTTCACAGGGCTATCTGAAACAAAGCTTGCTTTCTTATGGCCAAATATCCACTGCCCTGGATCAGCCTAGGCAGTTTCTTCAAGGGATTTCTTAGAAGTCTGTGGTTTGCTAAGCAGATACTTCATTTTCTGGATTTCTACTTTAAAACAGCTTATTTTAGATTGTTTTTCTTTGCTAATTATCTTATAATTACAATGCCTGTCTGAGGGCCTGATACCCCAGTTATGATCCAAGCAGGCGATTGGATTTACAATCTCTGTGACAAGAATATAACCCTTGACATCAGTTTTGTTGCCACAACATCCTCAACTTGTTGACAGACATGACCCTGAGCTTTTTTGGACAAAACGTGAAATCTCAAGAGCTTTTATATAAATTCATGCTTGCCCATCATTTTTACGTTCCTGTAGGCTCTGGGCACTCTCACAACCATCCTCTCAGCCACATTCAATTGCCCATGAGCTAGTTTCCCATGGCAATTCCTCAGCTGAAGCTGAGAGCTGTGAAGGCTCTTTTCAAAATATAAATATCTAAACCCCAACTGCCCCTGGCTACTTTAAGGGTTCTGAGTTTTATAATCACTACTTGAAACAGCAAAAAAGCTCTTCCAGGTTTTGCTTTGGAAGGTGCTATGGGGATGGTGGGATCACTACACTCATGGGGGCTTTCTGTGTCTGTGGAGGAGCAGGAGAGGACCTACTCTTTCATCTCCTCTCCTGCACAAGTTTTGAACATTTCCTATGGGACAGTACAATAGCATTCAATGAAAATTAAACTAACATGTTCCAAAACTCCTCCACAGAACTAAACCCAAACTGTAACACCGCATAAATACTCCATCATTCATTTGTGCAGGTTTATGAGGGTTTCCTTTCAGACTGAAATTCCTACAACTTCCTCAAGGTGGTACCATGGACACACTAAACTATTTTCTAGGTCCTGGAACACACTTAAGACACAGAAGCTAATTGAACAGATTTTGCGGTGTTAATTTCTCAACCATACTCTGCAGCGAGCAATTACCTGTGTGCAGTAGGAGAACGGTTTCCTGCACGCCGGGCTGCAGTGCCGAACTTCTGCAGGCTTCGTCCGAAGAGTGCACCCTCCTGTAAGAGAAAATGTTGAGTGCTTTCAAGGGTATGTTTTAAAATTATAGTGACTTGGATCTCCAAAGTGTAAGAACTGCTTGCTTGCTTATTTTATATAGTTAAATACTAGTCTATTGAGCCTATTAGCATAATATCTGTAGGCATCGCATTAATTAATTTGCCTTAACAAGGCAGGGAATTATTATCATACCCATCTTGTTAATGGAGAACAGAGATATACAGATTTAAGTAATTTGCCACAGGCCACATAGGAAGTTGGGGACAGAATCGGGAATTAGATGCAGATCTTCTGTGTCCTCATTAATGTCTTATCTACATAAGAAGATATAATCCACACAACGCCTTTGCCCATCCTCACTTGGGGAAGTCTGTGCTTCTATAGGAATAAAAACATGTTAATGAGTTCCTAAGTACTCGGCAACCTTAGCACATAAAACTTTTGTTATTACCTCAACTATAAATGGAGCTAGATAAGATCATCTCCATTTTCATTTCTACTCTTCTCTCATTCACCCTGTGCACATTGAGAGAGACCCTATGGATATGCAAAGCTCTACTGCCTTTGCCAAGCTCTTGTGGAGCTTCAAAGTGCTGACCATAAATTTCCCTTTTCATCCCGCGCAGGCAGAATTTGTAGGTCATGGCAACAGCAGGAATCTCGCCGCTG